CTTCACAGCTCGCTCTATAGATCAGCTCTGCAAAGTGAAGTTCAAGCCGCTTGTCTTCCTGCTTATCTGCATCAGCACTACAAAGCCATTGAGGAGTTGATCAGCTCAGTCTCTCAAAATGCAATGACCCCTCGCGACAATGTAATTTGAATAGCTATGAGTCCAAAGCCAGAAAAAAAATAATGGTGTCTGATTTCATTCCCTGCAATAGAAACTACGAACCGAATATGACTCCTGAACTGCGGGTTTGCTCAATTTGACTCCCCCACTGTTTTGGGCACACATGAAACCGGGTAGGGCCCGCCGTTTGACGCCTCCTTCTGCCGCAACTCGCTGAGCTCTGAGTTGGCCTTATCCTGCATGTCCTCCAGCATCTCGACCTCAGCACAATTCCCATACCGCATCCCGTTTTGTTTCAGGGGATTTCCGCAGCAAGTCCAGGAACAAAGACTCAAACTACAACTCCTGCCATGCAAACTTGATGAGAGTCACAATCAAAACCCGGTACTAAAATGGTCTACCCAGAACCAAACACAGAGTTAAAAAGGCGGCCGCAACTATTTCTTGCTGGACTGCCCCTTGCTAACTTTCATCTACCCGGGTTTTCATTGTAACTCATGAGTCTCCCCTTGCTTGCTATTTGGTGAGCGTGCTCCATAACCCCCCCCCCCCCGCCGCCTCCCGGACCCTTGAGGCAGGGGTAGCACCGAGCCGGTAAAGGTTTGGAACGTACATCTGTTGCTATGCGGGGCCGGCAAGCAATCAAAGTATGGTGAGCGTACTCCATGTCCTCCCCTGTACCCCACACAAGTGAACATGCAACCTGTGTCTATGCCTGGCTCAGGCGCTCAGGCACTCAGGCGCTCACGATGCCCCCACTCTTGCTTTGGTAGGCCGGCGCTGGCACTTGGAGGTCTGAGGCCTGCTTGGCCGGCCGAAAGGGCGCCCAAAATCAATCTGCAGCACCCTCAAGTTGTATCCAACATCCTCCACAAACATGCACAATACCAAAATGAGTAGCGTGTGGAATTTGCCTTTGACATGAGGGACTTGGAGTGATGCGATTGCCAGCCTTGACATTTACCCATGACACCCCCCTTGAGTGCATACACCCTAAAGATGTCTGGTACAGTTAACCCCGGATTAATAAACCCCTGGTTGATTAATAGAGGGGTGTCCCCTTTTAGTGGGGATTCATCACTTTTGGAGGAAACACCTCCTAATAATGGGACGGGTTTATGTGGAACCATTGCAAGCCAGGCCTCCTCAGAGTTCTGCAGGAACGCAGTGAGGCCTCGCTGAACGAGCAAGAACGCAAGGCTTGTCCGGCATGGATACTACATACCGAACTCAACAGGGCTCCCTATATTTCCCCTTCAAACACCACCCCCACCAAGGGACACTCACCTTTCATGGGCCAAAAAGGTGATGTTTAAAACCAGCAAAGGGAGAAATATAGGGAACCCTGCTCAATGATCAGGATTCATGGCACACGAAGAAAAAGAAATCGCGGAGCGCGCACGAAGTTTGCGAGCGAAACTCCGCGTTCTTGGTGCATAAGGCTGCGGCCCTCTGCATCTGCCTTGTCTTCCAGGCGGTGCCAAGAGCGCGCGCACACACACACACACATGCGTATATATCTGTACATATCTGTTGTATGTGTATATATATATATATTGTGTGACCAACATGACACGAAAACAGGCTCCGTGCTGAATCCCTCAAATGGGAGCTGGAATTGGACTTAACGCTTGGGACGAAGTGCAATGAAACCAGCCATTACTTTCCTTGAGCATTCATCCTACTCCCCAAGCTCTTCCGAAAGCTTGCGCCAAGTGGCTGCTCCAATCATGGCCCCCGATACCATCGCGTCGATCGCGGCCATGACGCCCGGAGCCTGGTGAAATGAAACAAGACTCAAGTCTTTCACTAAGTGCAAGACTGGGTCAAAATTCCGTACCCCCAGTGAACATCCCAGTCCAACCACTAAAATAGGTTCGAATATGGGTGGTGAGTTCACCTATCCCAAAATGGTACCATTGGTTTTGAACCATGGCCAATTGCTTCAGTTGGGTTGTCCCATCTCTTCAGAGAATATTGGGAATTTTCGGTAGGCCCCGCATGTCCTCTCCAAACAACAGACTATCAGCAATATGTTCCGTTGCTCAGCTGCATTGCCTTCAACCTTGCCTTCCCTACAACTGGCTTACCCTTCGAGCCTCAAACCACGCGCTTTCGCTTGCACAAGCGACGATCCGACCCGACTCGAGGGCCGCCCGGGCAGGTCGCCTTCTGGACTTGCAAGAGCGACGCAGAGGTGCCCTTTGCAGCCTGCGGTCCACTTTCGACGGTGGGGGGGGACCAAAGTTTAACACCTAGCAAATGATTCTTCCATTTAGAACCCCCAGTTTTGACCATGGGTAACTTTTCCCATGGAGTTGTCTCTGAGAAAATGTGGAGGTTGATCAAAAGGTCCGTAGAACATGGGATGACCAGTGGATAAAGACCATTAAGATGATGTCAACCACTAAATGAAGAGATGGAAAGCAATCCGCCCGCGAAGTCTTCCGCCTCCTTCTCGAGCACGGCAACCGCACGCTTCATGGACTCCATCGTGTCCATGAGGTCCTGACACAGCCACGGGCCCAGCGCTATGGATGACATGGAGCGGTTGTTTCCCAAGTGGGTGTGGCTCAAAATTAACCAGGAGGGGTTACGCAGGAATTGGTCCATGTTTCCACTCACTCCGAGTGCAGTGGGGCACAACAGCAAGGAAAGCCGCTACCATCTAGCAGGTTTACCTGGAAAGTGGCAGGCACTCGTTGCGCAAAGCTTTTTGACTTAAAGGTGTGGGAACAGGGGTATGTCTCTCTATCTCTCCCTCTCTCTCTCTCTCTCTCTCTCTCTCTCTCTCTCTGAGAAGCAAGGGTACGGGTGCATAGATTTGCCTGTGATACCCTCTGTACCAGGGCAACCCATTTTGGTACCGGTTTTTTGAGCCACAGCCAAGTCTTAAGTGGCATGCCCCAAGACATCTGGGCCCCAATGCACTAGCGTCTTCGGGGGGGGGGGGGGGAAATAAAGGAGAAATAAAAACGAAACCTTTGGATTTCGGCCACGCGGATCTTCTGTTGGTTTCCGGGTCTGACCATGGCGCTGGCCTTCTGTGCCGCCTGGAACTGGGCTTTCTCCTGTGCGGAGGTGAGGGACTGATGGGGCCATGGGGCATAATCTATGGCTGCATTTTGGGGTGGATGAACATCCACTTGCCACCTATTTCGATGTTCACCAGGGATACAGAGTTTTGACCCACAGCCATGTGGCCCTCTGTCCCCGCGAGGTCTGCGCAACTTTTCGCGGAATGAGGAATGAGGCGCTGCCCGAAATTTCAAGAGCTCCGGCCTTGCTGCGCAGGCCGGTGGCGGAGGCCAGGTTTGCCTCATGGACAAACTGAGCCAAGCAGATGTGGAGAGTCCAAGCCCAACCTTGTTGGACTCGATTCCAGCCATGGCTTCCTGGCCATGAACACTCGGGAGTGCCCAGGGTACATGACCATCCCTTTCCGAAAGCCTTAAGCATGTTGAAACCACAAAGAAAGGGTCCCGGAAGCAAAAAGAGACAAACCCCCTTGCCGGGTCGCGCGCGTGCCTGGATACTTTCACCCACAGACTGGCTCTTGCCCTCGGCTTTGGAGATCCTTCGCGAGCGCGTTTTCGATCGCAATCGCGCCAAGGAGTCGCTCGCAAGGCCGGGCCTGGCTTCCAGCTCCTCTTTCTGGTTCTGGCTGGTCTTGATGGAATAGCCTCAGGCGAAACACTGGCAAAATGCAGCACAGCACGGGCGTTTGAAACACCAAGAATCCCCCCCCAAAAAAAAAAACACGTAAAATTGTATAAGACTGGCAAAAACACCAGAATCCCCAAAAAAAACTAAGCTGCAGATGAGCCGCCCAAATCGCTGGCGCGGCGCTCGCAGAACTGCGCCTTCTCCTAAGATGGATCTGGCTGCTCACCGCATGCCATGGGCCACGTGGTGTCCGTGTCTGCCGCCGAGCTGAGTCACAATCAAAACCGGGCATTAAGATGGTCGACCCAGAACCATGTAAAGACTTAATAAGGCGGATGTCCGCAACTATGTATGGTTGGGATTGTCCCTTACTGATTGTGGCTCAGCTGAAGACGCCTGCGTTCCTGGCAACCCGCCTTCATCGTTTCGTCCGACTCGACTGCTTCCTTCTTGACTTTCTCCTGCAATGAGGTGCAGCCCCAGCCACATTGCACCGGTGCCACGTTCTAGCTGCGTCCTCCATGCCACCCAAAAGCTCCAGCACCTGTCCGCGGTACGGATCCAACCATCAAGTCCCGGTTTCCGATAGAAATTGATGTTGCCGACTGCCTTGGAGATGGGGCTGCCAGAGGCTGAGAGGGCCAAAGCCGCCGCCAGAATGAAGCGAAGGACCTCCGATGGCTCCACTTTGAATCAACAGCCGGAACTCTGCCAGGTCAGCCAACTACCCGTCTCGGTCTGGCACTGCCATGCTGTTGGCTCTGAGCTTGGGCTGCACTACGTTGACCTGGGCTCAGGTACTCAGGTACTCAGGTACTCAGGTCACTTGGAGAGAATGGTTTCATGCCCATGCCCACAGTGTGTTAAGTGTGAATGATGAATGTCTGGTCTCATGACCCACGTCTCTTTGCAGCCTCAAAGCCTCAAAACTTGGCCGCTGGCCCGGGCTGGCTACGGATACAGGAGCAAGCCTAGAAGGACCCACTCGTGCCTGAGCCTAAAGTTGGCAGCCTAGCTTGGCGAAGCGAGCTAGCACAACGCGACGGACTATTGACTCTCCCTCCCTCCTCACTGTTTTTGTTCTCTCGCTCTCCCTCTCCCTCACTCTCTCTCCCCCTCTCTCTCTCTGCCAAACCAACTTGCAGGCACCAAGCACCGAGACCACTCAATCTCAATCGTCAGTACCTATTCTTCCAAAGCAAATGGGCCCCTGCAGGTCCATGCGAGGATAAAGGACAAGTCCTCGTGGGTAGCATCACACCAGCGCCCAAGGAACTGACTGGCACCGTCTGCCGAGCACTAGCAGGCGCTTGCACTACCCCATCCTCAAAGCGAGTCAGCGTCCGGGCTAAAGAATGCAGGGGCCTTAGCAAGAGCCGCCAGTGTCAAGAGTGATTTTGCAAATGTCAGGCTTCAATGGCGTTTGGCGATGAACATCACATTGCCTTGATTGTATGGTGCTCCGTTCAAGGTATTGTCTACCTCATCAAATGACGTCCATCAACCCGGAGTAGTCAGTGTCAACTGAACGTTTCCTCAGTGCTGCGCGAGCCCTCAGATGCCTTAGACTGTGTTCGTCATTCGCGACCAATACAGCCCCAAACAGCCAAAAAGAACTCCTCAATGAGCCAAAGCAACACATGTAATCTGATGGAATCATTGGGAACCTGCCGTCGCTTCAAAAGGCATAAGGGCATCATTGAATTTGGGAGGCGCAGATTTGGACCCGCAGACATGTGCATGCTATCCACATGGCTCGGAAAGCAGTGACCATGCCCGACAAATCTGTCAACATGATCGATAGTGACCGCTCACAAATCGATAGCCCTGCCCGGCAGAAAAGCATGGCACTGACAATGCCCATCAAATCTGTCAGATGGACAATTGATTGTGACTCCAGCACTGCTTGAACTCCCAATGCTGTTCAGCAGCATAGAGCAAGTTCAACAAGTAGTGGGTTGGTCGCCCAGGGCCTGGCCAACGCCAAGAAGTCTCCTAACTCGCGAGCAGCTGACTAGGGCGGTGGCTGTGCAGCGCCACAGTCGCCTGCCAGCCACGCGTCCTCCGGCAGGCTTGGCCATCTGCCTTTGGTCTGAAAACCCATCGCCTTGAGTGGTGTTTGGAAACTCAGGGCCTCTGGTCCATGGAATGGCCCAATGATATTGCTGTCGGCAAGGAAAGGGCGCCGAAGTGCGTCACGATTTGCGTTCAAATTGGTTTGAAACCTCATCTATATCTCGCCAGAAACTGGCTGTAAAAATCCTGTCGGAACAGAACTTCAAAAATCACCTAAAAGCCTGAAAGCAGATCCCCAAACCCCAAACCCCAAACCATGCCAAGCCTAGCCCAACCCAAATCTGTTTCCATCGGCCATGTCCCGTCCTGGTGGGAATCACCTCCGCACACTTCACCAGTCTCACCTCCACAAAGTGCTGCGGCTCGCCGGCTTCCTCCTCCTCCTCCTTCTTCTCGTTCAACTGCGTCGGCAAGAAATGGCTTGGGCGTGGGAGTCGCCCGGGCGAAGAAGCAGATTTGCAGTGGCAGCGAGTTAGGTGAGCAGCGCTTGTGTGTGTGTGTGTGTGTGTTGTCTTTTGTTTGAACCGCGTACAGCTCATGGCCAAACTTGGCTACGTGGCGACACAATGCGGCCTTGTAGCCGTGAATCACCCGATGGGGCCAACTGTTGGTCCTTCGCAATGCACCACATTGCGCAAGCTCGCAAGCAGAAATTTCGAATGCAGACCCAAGGCTGGGGCTGGTAGAAGCGATAGTTCTTCAGGAGTGCTTCTGGAAGCAAGCCCTTGGCAAATGCACCGGGCATTAGGAGAATGAGGCCTGGCTGGGATCCGGACATCCAGAACTCGAGAAGGCAAGTACTGCCTAAACGAGTGGCCCAGTGCGAATGCTGGTGCCGTGTTTTGAGTTGACCATTGTCTATTTGGCTCGACTGCCAGTTGACATCTTGGCCCTGCACTCTCCCTCTCGCTGCGCTCTTTCCCAGACTGTCCGCTCTCCTGCACAGCCATCAGCCAAATCTCCATCAAACCCTTGACGAACAAATTGGACTAGCTCCACTCGGTGCCGCCTTCGTCGTCCTCCTCCTCACTCACATCTCCTGCAAATATGCACAGCCCGCTGCACTACAAGTATTTACCAACCCCGCCGTCGGACCACTGCGCCGGGTCATCCAGCGGCTCGCGCCCCTCTTCTCCGCCTCCCTTCATGGGTGTTCGACCTAGCTCTCGGCAACACTAAGCAACCCACGGCAAGCCTGAGACTGTCACACCGTTTTACTTGCTGGTGCGATAGGCTGGGAATAAGAAATGACCCTTTATAAGCCATCCAACTGGTGGTTTCCTACTTATCGCACCAGCAAGTAAAACGGGAGAGACCTGAGCTCCGCACGCACCAAGGTTCGGCAAAGCACCACGCTCGCCGGGAAGTTCTTGGGCTCCGTCTCTGGCTTGCCGGCCTGAAGATAACATGACTATTAATGTTAATAAGGGACCCTTTGGTGGAAATCATCAGGGGATTCATGTCCACCAATCACTGTTGGGGTGATTCCCTCTTGAAATTCATGGCCACGTCAAACGGCTCAAGGGGCGCCAGCTGCGACTCGAGCGCCTGGTGACGGCCCCACTCTGGCCATGGCGATGGTCGATTTTGAAAGGCCGGCTGCAAGCCTGTCCAGCTGGAAGGCTTGATCAAGCGAAGGGGAGGACATCCATCTCGTGATCTGCATCTCTGTTTTGGGCGTTGTTTTGGGCTCTCCCGGATGAAAGCGTTCCGTAAGATGTTCAAGTTGGAGGCTCAACTGGACGACAGACAGCCAGTTTCGCAACGCATGCTTCAGCTACTGTGCCTCAGCCCCTCCGGTGGCTCAAAGTGAGCGTGACATAGCCCAGGGTCAACCAAACAAAAGAGTGAATGGGCTTCAGGGGTCGGGGACGCAAAGCTTGCAAGAATTTCTTCGTGGCTTGTAATTCTTGGTGCACTTTGGCTCTCTAATTCTCCATAGTCGGACGCATGAGTGCTCAAACACGTCCCTCGCATCATCACATTCGTGGACAACTTTTTGGAGGTTCAGTTTCGGAAATGTGCAAAACGCCCATGGATGGGGTGCTGATCCCCAGCATCTCCCGGCTTTGGCTTCCAGTGATGCTGTTGGCGCCTGGTTATTGCTACTGTGTGTTTGTTCTTTATTTTCGGGGTCCAGGCTGGATAAGCATGCTCATGGAGTTCAGTTGACGGTCTCGAACACATCCCACGAAAACTGCCCTCTTCATGGAATCTCCATGGGTCCCAAACGGTTTGTTCTAAAGCAGCCTCCATATGGTTGCTTTGCCTCGTGCTCAAGTGGTCAGTCTTTTGCCTGCGCGATGCCAGTGTCATGGCGATGTTTTCTGCTTTGCAAAGTGCGTCAGCGGCTGGCGTAGCAAGCTGCATAAGCAGCGTTGCCAAGGATGGGATGAAAACCACAGAACAACGAAAGGCTGAGCAAAGGGGTTGCTTTATGTTAAGGCGGTATGCTGATTGTCTGCACTTGCAAATGGAGCCTGCAAGGGCGTACTTGCAGTTCGTTGAGTACTCCAAGCGTCTGTAGCCTTGATTCGATGACGTGCGCGTGTCAAGATCAGGTCCGTTTAAAGCTCGACTATTTTGGCTCAGCCCCGGACATTGCCCTCCATAGTTCATGATTCCGTAGATGTGCACAACTCTCAGCTCCTAGTGCGACAGAATATCATAAAGGCACTTTCCAGAAGCTAAAAGCCAATCTGCACTGGGATTCAAGCCCGGAAGACTAAGACCTCCTTCCAAACTCGGCCACGGATCCTCGGCAGAAACAAACTTTCTGAAAGACTCGGCACGCATCTCGCGGCCTTGGATGTACTCCGGTTAGAACCGCCACAGCCTCTGGCAATCAGAACATCCGCACTGCCTTCGAACAAGATCCAAGAGCATGGCCGCTCCCTCCGGGATCTCTTCCTGCAAGAAGAAGAGGATGTCCTGTCCGCCAAAACTCCGAAGCCTCTGCCCAGGGAAAAAAGGAAAAAATCAAAACAAAAAACGTGGGAAACACCAAAAACAACATGGCGCTTGTGGCGCTCGCGGCGCTCGCGGCGCTTTTTTTGGTCAGGCGTTCGGAGCCCGTCCCTCCTGTGGCACCACTGGCTGGGCGAAGAACTGCCGCCGCACTGGCCTGAGAGATTCCGCGGTGGCTTTCGACATGAAACCGGACCCGGCTGGCGCTTGAGAAAACAGAAAGAAAGAAAGAAAGAAAGAAAGAAAGAAAGAAAGAAAGACAGAAAGTGTGTAAACTCTGGAGTTTTGCTGTTAAAACAAGAAAGAACTAGTTTGTATGGAGCTTTGCTTGTTTGCTTGAGATGTTCCGACTCTTTCGGACAGAAGCTTCCACAAGCCCGTGAATTACAGGTTCCACAAGCTATTTGCAAGTCGACTGCAGGCCCCGCAGTTGATACGTCATCAAATCGAGGCCAATTTGGGTAGGATTCGAGCTGCGCTGGCTAGGCAGGCCCCTTGAATCAATGCTGCCTGGGCTGATCATATAGATCACCGAGCTTGCTCTGTGCCATATTGGTACTCACTTGGTGCCGGAGCTGCCATCTTGAAGTACTTGCAAGATTCCAAACCGAATGGCATACTCCGTAGTAAACCGTAAACCTGCTCTGGTTTTGGTCGCTTTTGGGGGTGTTGGTTTTTTCTCGATGTCTTGCTTGAGGCTTGAGTGCCCTTGCTTGGGAGGGTGGGTTGGCTTCGGCTGGCCCACTTCCGTGTGCAGTTCGCTTGGGGGCTGCCACACGTTATCAACGTCTACACACTGCTCTGGTTTTGTCATGTATTTAGGAGCAGGAGACTATAACGTTAACCATCAACACACCAAACTTCAAAGTACTCATCGCACATTCCAAGTAACTAAATTGGAGCCAATTCGACTAACCAACGACCTTTCAGAATGTCTCAGATTTTCAGTCGTCACCTTGGGAAATGTCTGCAAACGTGAGCCCCCCTTTTTGCCTACGAACACAAAAAGTCATGCACTTTCTGCAGCAAAGCCAGCCACAGGTCGGAAGCTTCCATAAGAGTGCATCGTAGACAACAAAGATCAGCACTGGATCAAATAGGTTTGGAGTCGGCAGGAAAAAACACCCTTTGTTACCAACACTGGCGTAGCTAGTCGGGGGTTGGCCGCTGGCGATGCTGGCGATGCTGGCGATGCTGGCGATGCTGGCGATGCTCGTGCAGCGCCACAAGCAACAAGCATCCTGCATTGCTTGTCAACAATGCCCGGAAAAAGGTGCAGTGATGGCAAGGGCACTAGGGTTGGCCCCGTGCAAATGCTGATGTGAGCCGGGCTGCATGCTTCAAGCGGGTCATAGGTTCAGGTTCGCACTTGGGTTCAGGGACGGATTTAGGATAGGTTTCGGGTTGAAATCCGGTGCTTAGTGCGTGCTTCGGCTTGGTTTACGTTGCTTGGGGCTTGATGAGATCATGTGGACCTCGGTTCAGCGTGTCTTTAGGATCGATTGAGGTGGAAAAATCTGAAGCCAAAAGCTGGGAGCTCTGCTCGAAAAGCTCGGCAATGAAGCCCTCCGAAGCATCCAGGTCCTACTACACCATGCAGATGGGTTTGTCTCAAGATAGGAATCGGTGTTCGAAATGATGGGCTTCCTTCTGGTTTGATATGAACCATTTTTTGTGGATGGACTTTTTGTTTTGGGAGACCCTTTGTTGACATCATTTTGGTGGGGATTCGTGTCCACCAAGCACTTGACGTGGTTTCCCATTTAAATCAATTGCCATGTGCGTTTGTTAATAGGTGCTGTAGGGGGCTATTACGGGCAACACAAAGAACCCTGTGAGGGGCATCATTCTACCTGTCCTCCACATCATAGATGCGGTCAGCATCAGCAAGCACAGGTAGCGCCTCAGAAAGGCACAAGTGTGTTGAACCTTCAGGCATACTCAACATGCTGTCCAATTCACAAGGGTCTCCTAGCGGCTTGCAAACGGAGCAACCAAGCTCCAAGCATTGCTGGGGCGCTCATTCCAGTGCAGTGTCCTGCTCAAGCACAAAGCACAGGTAGCCAGCACTACTGTTCTCGAGACCATTTTCTGCCGCTATCTATCTCTCTCTCTCTCTCGCTCTCTCTCTCTCTCTCTCACATGTTTTCTGCTACTCGCTCCTGACACTGTTTTGATGGCTGTTACTGCACAACCCAAAAAGCGGTTCGGTCTCGCAAACAGCTCTAGGCCTGAAAGGAAAGGAGAGCAGCTCTCGCACCTTCACAAGGTCTGTGGAAAGTAGCGCCGCACCTCACAGATTTCATCATGGCCCAGAATGAGTCGGGAATGAGTCGCAAGGGTCTTTGCACAAAACCTCACTGAGTCACCGATTTTGTCAGATCCACAAGGTAAATCCGACAAGCTCTGGTCGGAAGAACCCTTGGTGTTGACCGGTTGCTGTTCGGCTGTGCTACTAGTTGATGGGCTAATATAATTTGGAGACTCTAGTTTTGGCAGCATCGCACTTATTGCGCCATTGAATCTGTGCAGCTTCGCTATAAGATGCCGGCACTGGACCGTCTTAGCCTCGCGGCCGCGAAGCCGAAGGATGTCTCTGAAGTCGGTGTGTCCGGAGGTTTCCTCCTCCAAAGGAGTGACCTAAGATCGAGCTAGGGACAGTCCACCTATCTGTTTGACCCGACTCGGGAGAACACGTAGCGTCCGCGCACGGTGACTTGCAGCAACTGCACGTTGAGCTCCACCCAGGTTGCACCAGACTTGTCCTCAGCCCAGCCAGTAGCCTTTTGCTCTCTGCGGCTCGCAGCGCGCCTCAGTTACACTAGTGATTTCGCCCCGCTCCGCCTCCGAGCGCTTGCGGCCTCAGTAGGCAGCCAGATATAGGGTTTGTCTCAAAACAGGGGAACCTCAAAAATGGCCGGTGTCCTGTTGGTTTGCCTCTAAAACCATTCAACAAAGGGGTCGCTCCCCAAAAAAAGGACAGACCCTTCTGCAAGCACCAAGTCGATGGCCAACCACGCAGTAGCGGCCCGCGTTGTGCAGGTCCCCTCCAATCGAGCCCCACTCAAACTCCGCCGTGTCGATGGAGCTGGCCTAGATGCGACAATCGCAGCAAGCAAGACAACCATTGCAAGCTGCTGGCAGCGTCCAAGGCGGAGAACTGCTCGTGCACTGTCTGGAGGACAGTATTGAAGCTCTTGTACCTAAGTCATCAAAGTGCTGCGCCAGAATCTGTACTTTGAGATACACTCAATGTATACTCAATGTATGGCCCCCCGGCTCCTTCTTCTCCATCCTGGTTTCAAACCAGCCTGCACTTTGCGGAAACAGCTCAGAACGCGTGGCTGACGCGCACCAGGACTGCGCCTACAAGATGTCGCCGATGGCGGTGGTATATCTCAAACAGCTCGGGCCTGAGAGAAAAGTCCATCTCTCCATCACGCGAAACTTTTGCGTGGCTTCTTGAACTCGCTCAGGCCGAGGGCTCTGGTATCTCCAGTCCATCTTGAAGATTGAACGTATGGTGCCTGTCCCGCGATTCGATCAAGTCCCAGCAACCCTTCCGATGCACCGGGTGCCCAACATCGACAGGAAGGCGAAGGACGACAGCAGCTTGGACACTGAGGCGGGGCCTCGCAGCCATAGGCGTCCTTTTAGAAATAGATGGCCCT